CCTACCAGGCCTCTAAATTTAGGAGATTCTCAGATGCTTATTAAATGATCCTAAATTATTATTTCTTGGCCATTTACCTTTAATCCATCTCATTTGGTCTCTGAACCTAAAATAACACCTATTGACTATAACAGAGTATCAAGAACTGAAAATTCTGTGTATGCTACAAATCACAACTATACTACTAGACCAAAACTGACACAGAGTAAAAAAGACTGGAAGGAAATATAAAATGCAAACAATGGCTATGTTTGGGTAATGAAATTAAAGTATATTTGTGGCCAGGTATGGGGATACACACCTATAATCCCAGCTACTTAGTAGGCTGAGGAAAGAGGATCACAAGTTCATGGCCAGCCTCAGCAATTTAGTGAGACCATGTCTCAAAATAAAGTACAATAATGGTAGGAGACCTTCAGTGATACACAAAATTATAAGAGGTTATGAAGGGCAAGGGGGAGGGGGAAAAAGGGGAGAGAATTGAACAACAGCAGAGGAGGTAGAGAAGGAAGATAGGAGGGGAGGGGAGGGGGGATAGTAGGGGATAGGAAAGGTAGCAGAATACAACAGTCACTAATATGCCATTATGTAAAAATGTGAGTATGTAACAGAAGTGAGTCTGCAATTTATATTTGGGGAGTTCAAAACCCAATTGAGTCAAATGTATGAAAGATGATATATCATGAGCTCTGTAATGTTTTGAACAATCAATAAAAAGATAAAAATTTTAAAAAAAAGAACAAAAGGGGCTGAGGATGTGTAGCTCAACAGTAGAGCACTACTAAGCATACTCGAGGCCCTGGAGTTCAATTCCCAGCACTGTTAAAAATAAAAAGCAAATCTGTTCTTGGGCTGGGGTTGTGGCTCAGTGGCAGAGTGCTTGCCTCACACATGTGAGGCACTGGGTTCGATTCTTAGCACCACATAAAGATAAATAAACAAAATAATGATATTGTGCCCATGTATAACTAAGAAAATTTTAAAAAGCTTTACAAAAAAAGTAAATCTGTTCTCTTTGGCAGAAAAATAAATGAATGAATAAATAACTGTGAATATATGGAAAAAGATGACACTATGCAGCAAAATATCAATTTTTAAGCTTAGGTAAAAGGTACACAGATTTTCATTGTATCATTTTTTGATGTTAATGCAGATTTGACAATTTTCAGAATGTAAAGTTGAGAGGAAAAGAAACCTGTCAGAATGCTCATACATTCTTACACTATAAAGAACACCACTAAAAAATGAAAAAAATATTGGCTTTAACATTACTTCTCACTATGGCAGCAAGTTATATACAAAAACTAAGCTAAAAACTAATAATACTAAATCATCCAATATAATAGGTTTCTAATGACTTTAGTAAAAAGCAATAATAGTTAAGAGTCACATACCAGCAGCTATGGGAATTCCAACCAGATTATAAATTAGAGCAAAGACAAAATTTATCCGAATCCTCTTGACTGTCTTTCTTGATAAGTCAATACTTGCCACTACATCCAAAAGATCATTCTAAGAACAGAAATATTTATGATGTTAGTGAGAGACTAACTTTACTAGTAACTTTTATATTTGACACTATGTATACTGACGACTATGTATACCTTACAGTAATAGGTGTATTAACCACAAATCTCAGACACTGCTAAAACTTGAATCAGACTTGGAAGATGTTTTACAGAAAATTTTTCCAGGGTTCTGAAAACACTTTTAGGGTTGTGTGCTGGTATAAGAATTAAATATAATTAAAATAACCTCAACAAATATTTACTGAAGATAACTGTATTAAAAATATATTCCTAAATCTTATTCTTCACATTGGAAGCTTAGAATTCTCACTCACATTGCTGCATTGAGAAAGTCAATAGGTAATTGGTAAGATTTCCCATACTCCCACCTCAAATACTCATAGTCTTAATAACTAAGAACATGGGAATTAAGGCAGAAATACTGTGTTAAATATATTTTATGACATTATCACTGACCATGTAGGGTAGTTTCATGTTCCTCAGAGGTCAGGCCATTGGACTTACCCTTATCAAAACCACATCAGCTGCTTCAATGGCTACATCTGTGCCTGTGCCAATGGCAATTCCAACATTTGCCATTGCTAGAGCTGGAGAGTCATTGATTCCATCTCCTACCATTGCTACACGTTTCCCCTCCTCTTGAAGTTGCTTCACTTTAGCAACTTTGTGGGAAGGTAGAACTTCAGCAAACACCTTAGTAATGCCAACCTACAGGAGGAAAATAAACTCAATTAATTTCAAGAAATAATACTGAGTACCAAAAGAATAACTGGGTAGTAATGAGTCCTCTTTTTTTTATACACCAGATGTCTACATTTTAAATGACTGATAATATTCAGTGATAATATAGGAAGTGAGCATTCTTATATACTGTTGTTGAGTGTGTAATTGGCACTGTCTTTGGGGGGGGCATTTGGCAATATTTATCCAAGTGTACACATCATTTGGTACAGCAATTCTACATCTAGATGTATTTTGGACAGACTTGTACATGTACAAAGATGTTTATTAACGCCTGTTAAAACAAAAAAAAAACTTTCAAATTCACCTTAATGTCTATCATTGGGGGAATGGTTAAATAAATTTTGATAAATCCATACCATGGAATTCCATGAAACAATATAGAAAGAATGAAATAACTTTATATGTTCAGACATGAACAAAGTTCTAAGGAATAGTTATATTTAAAAACCAAACTAGTGAATAATCCTTATAAAATGATCCCACTTGATGTTCAAAATACCAGAATTATACATTTGTATATGAACATATATATGCATTTGTAAGCGGAGGGGTAGAACTAGACATACAAGCAACATTTCAAAGCATGAGAAAAGGGTGACAAACTCTTTACATCCTTCTATATTTTATATAAAATGTATTCATATATTCCTTGTATTATTTATTAGAAAAGGAGAGAAGGTATTCCCAAGTAGAAAAGATTGAAAAATGTTAGAGGTAAGGCACATACAGGGGTCAGCAGAAAAGTGGTATGTCAAAGTGGTGCATTAGGAAATGGTTCCATTAGTGGTGTTTGGGACTGAACAGAAAGGAACCTGTCTGGTGTTATTGCCATATTTCAGGTAAGAGATGATGAGAACCTGGCTTAAGCTGACAGCACTATGAAGAATACGAGCAACATTTCAAAAGAAGCATCAACAGAAACTGGTGTATAGGGTCACTCAAGCATCCAACGAGCTAAGCAAATACCCTTTTACTTATACTAGGAACACACAAAGCTAAAATCCTTCTAGCATAGCATGCTAATCCTTCTTTAAGGAACCAACTAAATCTTTTTGGTGATAATGAAAATAACAGATCATGTGAATTTTTTAGTATCTGAATGCAGGAAATAAAATATATATGAATAATTATAAGTTACTACATGCCCACACCCCAACAACTAAGTAAACTAGTTACCTGAGAAGCAATAGATCTAGCTGTTTTACTGTTGTCTCCAGTCATCAGAACTACTTCTAAGCCCATAGATTTCAGGATATGGACAGCCAATTCTGCTTCAGGCTTCACAGTATCAGCAATGGCTATCAAGCCACACAGCTCATCTAATAATAGAAGCAGCAGAAGACAGTTTGGAATATGGTGAAAAGTAGAATAATATTTTTTGAGAGAGAGAATTTCAATATTTATTTTTTAGTTTTCAGCGGATACAACATCTTTGTTTTGTATGTGGTGCTGAGGATCGAACCTGGGCCACACGCATGCCAGGCAAGCGCACTACCGCTTGAGCCACATCCCCAGCCGTAGAATAATATTTTAATGTAACATTTCAGAAAGAAATAAATTTTGTAAAGTTGTTCAGGGCTTGACTGAACTCAAGACGTCTCTGAACCCATACAGACTTTATACCACTAACCCTATAATCAACTTTCATATCTGGTTATGAAAACTTCACAAAGTAGTGGTAACCAACAAAGGTAGTAAAACAAAAAACAAAAAGAGAGACCTTACTGGATATTAAAATAATCTTTTCCTTTCCTTAAATAGTTATTTGCCAATAGCTATAAACACTTCTTAGCTAATTTAAAAGCAAATGAAACTGACAACTAATACTTTTTTTTTCTTTTTAGAGTAAAAGGGGTGTGTGAATGGAGCTAAAACTGGCATTTTAACATAGGTAAAAAAAAAATTACTGCAAAATACTTATTTTATTCTATTTAAAAGACAAAAGTAAGCCAGGCATGGTGGTGCATGCCTGTAATCCCAGTGGCTCAGGAGGCTGAGTCAGGATTATGAGTTCAAAGCCAGCCTCAGCAACAGTGAGGCTGTTCTATATTTTTACCTACACTGACTTACATCCCCAGCTATTTTGGGTTTTTTAAACAAATCCATGATTGGCTTTTATTTATTTAAAACAGGCTAAGAAATAAAATAATAAAAGTAGGCAAATGAAGAGGATTTTTAAAGAATTTTTCCCTTCTTTTTTATAGTACTGGGCCCTAGCCCAGGAAATTTTAATTACTCAGTAAAAATCATGTCATTTAATGTTTTCACTTTGTATCCAGGGGCCTGGTGAATAACCCACATAGTTCAGAAGTCTCTCAAAAATACACAAGAAAGCACTGGGTATGGTGGCTCACACTTGTAATCCCAGAGACTTGGGATGCTGAGGCAGGAGTATCACAAGTTTGAGGCCAGCCTCAGCAATTTAGCAGGATTCTCAGCAACTTATCAAGATCTGCTCTCAAAATAAAAATCAGGGCTGCAGATGTAGCTCAGTAGTAAGCACCCCTGAGTTGAATCACCAGTAACAAAAACAAAAAGACCTCAAAATACCCCAAACACACATGAAACAACTGAGATTACAACAGTGAATCACAACATACTCATGGAAAACCTTACCGTCAACTGCCACCAATACAGCAGTCCGACCTTTTCTTTCATGTTCAGTCATGGAATCATCTACATCATTATTAATGATGAGACCATTTCTAATCATCCATTCCCGGTTACCAATGAGGACTTTATACTGCTGAGTATTAAAAGTATCTGAAAGTAAGTACAGAAATAACATTTGGTGAGCTCATGTAATCTTTATAGCAACTCTATGAAGCCAGTTCTTCCTGTCTAATCTTGTAGTAACTACAGCATATTTTTGGTAGAATACAACCTGGAATAGCAATTTTCAAATTTTCTGGGAATATATTCTGCTCTTCCATGTCTCTGGGCCTTTGAATATTTTGCTACCTTAACCTGAATATTTTTACCTCTCTACTCCAAATAGTAAACTTCATTGTATTCTTCAAGAGCCAATTCAAATGTCACTTTCTTGGTGAAGCTTTCTGTTTGACCTTCCATAGCAATTCAATTAAGTTCAAAATATTTATTGTGCATCAGTAGCTGAATGTTGGACATAAATATGCCACCATGCTATTGTTTCATTTTAAACTTGTGATCACTAACTTTAAGTGAGCCCTTAGTGCTGTCTTGAAGTTCATCTATATTTCCTTAGGTCATTCATTTTCCATTTCTTCTAGGTGACTATTTTACACCTTCTCCTCTCTTTTCAAATCTCCAACTTCTCCTCTCTCATTCTCATACTAGATGACAACTCTGGCTCCTACTTCAGAAAGAAAATAGAAGCAACTGAAAGACAACTTCCACAAGCTCTCATTATCTAGCCTAGTGATCTGCACCTCCTGTGTCCATATAATTTACCATCCCTTCTATTCTTATAAACTGACTTTGTTCCAAATTTTAAGACCAACCTCTCCATTTGTGCATTAGAACCTCCTCTTTTGCTTATTTCAGAACATCTCTCCAACAATTCTCCCGTCTCCTTTTCTATCTCTGCTGCACATTGTCCTAACTTTAAAAACCCCTCTCAATATCACCTACTGCTTTAGCAACCATATTTCTCTGCCTGTGTACACAGCAAAATTTCAAGTGTTCTTTATTGACTGTCTTCAATTCATATCTTCCATTCTTACATGAACCCACTTCAATAAAGTTTTTTAGATTTTTTTTAGTTCTAGATGATACAATACCTTTATTTTATGCAGTGCTGAGGATTAAACCCAGTGCTTCACATGGGCTAGGCAAGTGCTCCACCACTAAGCTACACCTCCAGCCCCTCCAATAAAGTTTTTGCCTCTCCTATTCCAATGAATCATTTACACCCTACACCAGTGACCTTTACTCTAATAAACCTACTGGTTAATTCTCAACTATCATCCTACTTGCCCTATTAGTAGCATTTAACACAGTTGTTTACTCCCTCCTTCTGGAAATGCTTTATTTGCTTGGCTTCTAGAACTCCACATTCTTGGGAATAACTCCTTGTTCAGCACTTTTCAGTCTTTGCTAATCCCTCCTCATCTCCCTGATCTCTTAATTGGTTATGCATTGGGGTTCAGACTTTAGCACCTCCTTTGTGATTTTATCCAGTTTCGTGTCTTTAAATACTACTCATATCAGCATTATCCAAAGAACTTTCTATAATTATGGAAATGTTGTGTATCTGCTCTATTTAATATAGTAGCCATTAACACACATATCTGACTATTGAGCTCTGAAATGGGGCTACTAAGATTGAAGAGCTAAATTTTAAATTAAATCTTAATTTAAATAGTCTTATATAGCTAGTGGATACTGCACTGGACATCACAGATCTATAAGCAAATGACTCCCAAATTTATACGTATGACTCAGCCTATTTCTGACTCCTGAAGTCAGAAATTTTCATTTATACGACATCTCCACTTGAACATTTAATAGATACTCAAATACATGTACAAAACTAACTTCTGATCATTTCTCCATTACTACCTCTCTTGTGGTCTTGCTATCTTATTTAAAGGGTAACTCCATTCTTCCAACTGCTTAGGCCACAAACCACAACACAAATTTTGACTCTGGTTTCTCTCCTACCCCAGATATGCAACCTGTGAAAAAAATGTTTCAATTCTTCCTTCACGACACATTTAGAATCAGAACCTAGATGATGGTAACAGCCCAGCAACTCATTTTCCAGCTTCTGCCCTTGCCCCCAACTCTTACCTCCATAGTGTATTTTTACCAGAGCATCCAGAGTGACAATGTGAAAACATCAAGTCAGATTCTGTCTCTTCCTCTACTCAAAACCCTTAAATAGCTTCCTAAGAGTAAAAACCAAACTCTTTATTTTTAGTGGTGCTGGGGATTGAACCTAGGGCCTTGTGCATGTGAGGCCAGCACTCTACCAACTGAGCTATATCCCCAGGCCCCAAAACAGTCTTTTCAATGTCCTTACATGATCTAATCCCATACTACCTCTCTGATCTTGTCTCTTACCCCTTTCCAATTCATTTATTCTGCTCTTGCCATACTGTTCTTGCCACTCCTCAAACAAATCAAGTACACTCCTGACTTAAGGCTTTCATACTTGCTATTCCTCCTCCCTTGCATGCTTATGTCATGAATATTCACATAGCTTTATATCTCAACCCTTTCAGGTATCTGCTCAAACACCACCTTCTCAGTGAGGCCTACTCTGATCAGCCTATATAAAAATGGTACCCATGGGCTGGGGATATAGTTCATTCGGTAGAGTGCTTGCCTCATATGCACAAGGCCCTAGGTTCAATCTCCAGCACCACAAAAAAAATGGTACCCACTAATCCCAGCATTCTCCATACCCTTTTCCTCACTCATTTCCTTCCATACATGCTATCTCCATCATACTATATTTTCTGATTTCTTTTCTATTTTCTGTTCTCGTGTGTGTGTGTGTGTGTGTGTGTGTGTGTGTGTGTGTGTGAGAGAGAGAGAGAGAGAGAGAGAGAGAGAGAGAGAGAGAGAGAGAGAAATAGATTGAATTATAAATAGAATTGAACCCAGGGCCTTGCACATGTTTAGCATAAGTTCTACCACTGAGCTACACCCCCAGCCCTCTCTGCTGATTCTTTAGTGCCTTGAACAATCTGCTCAACAAAAACTGTTTCCTATGTATCCGTGTTCTTGATTTCAAAAGTCCACAGACAAATAATAAAGAAGTCACAGACTAGTATAGATGGCTGGTGTATAAATAATTATTGTGCAGTCTATCTAGTGCAACAATGGAGATTAAGTACAATTATTATTTAAGAAGAGTAATTCTCTCTGTCAATATATGTCAGTCAGTGATGAAAGAAGTGAGCTTGGTCTTGAAAGGTAATTGTAATTTCACCAGGTAAATTCCATTTGTGTGTAAGAATATTACATAGAGGAAATAGTAAATGAAATTATCTAATAATCATGAAATGACACATTGTAAGGAGGAAACTAAGTAGTTAGGTATGGATGGAACATAGAGTACATGTGGAACAATGGAAAAGACAAAATGAGTGATATAGGGAGGCAGGAGACAGCACACACAGGGAATAGATCTTGAACAAAGTCCAGAGACCTAAGGAGAGAAAGAACCATTGAATCTGGGATCCTGGGCTGGGTATGTAGCTCAGTTGGTAGAGTGGAGTGCTTGCCTTGAATGCACAAGGTCCTGGGTTCAATCTCGGGCACCACCAAAAAGAAAATTTGGGCTGAGATTTAGCTCAGTTGGTAGAGTGCTTCCCTTGCATGCACAAGGCCCTGGGGTTCAATTCCCAGCACCACACACACACACACACACACACACACACACACACAAAATCTGGGATCCTTAACCAAGATCTATGGATAGGCTTCAAGGATACACATGAACCTCTTATAACAAACATATTGTAAAGGATAGATCCATAGCTTTCATTACATTCCTCCAAAAGATTCATAATTCACAAAATAGGTCATAAACCACTATAAAAGAGTCATGGGTCAGAAAATGATATGATCATATCTGCATGTTAGCAAAATCGCTCAGGAATAAATGGGTGGAGAAGTAATGGCACACTTAGATGGATAGAACATGTTTTAGAGGCAGAAAAAAGATCAATGGGAAGCTCAGGAAATAGGCCTTGGCCAAAGATACAGGTTTTACAGTGGTAGTGAAAGCCTGTAAGTAGAGGAATAAATAATAGGCACGAATGAGACTGTACAGAGAAAGTATAAAAAATGAGAAAAATAAAAACAAATACATTCCTGAGGATATCCAATATTTGAAAGCAGAAGAAAAGATGAATTAAAGGAGGATTACAAGATACAGCCAAGGATGTGAGAGAGAATCGAGAGAAAGCAGGGTCATGGAATAAAGGGAGGAAAGAGTGTTAGAGAGGAATAAACATCATCAAATGTCTTAGTGAAGTCACATGGGATGAAGATGAAAAGTGACCACTGAAGAGGGCTCTGAGTGACCTAGAAAATATAGTTTCAGTAGTATGGATGGAATGGAAGCCAGATTACAATGAACTAAGGCATGACTCTGTATTGAATAAGTGAATTCAATGAATGAGCCTACTCATTCTCAAAGCTTAGATACAAAGGAAAGGAAAGAGTCTAGATGGGAATATAGTGATTTTGATGGGAGGAATATTCAAAGATACAGATTTTGGTGTGGTAATGGAAGCCTATAGACAAGAAGCTACTACAGAAAAAGAGCTGGAAAATGGAGAAGCAATGGAATATGACAGAGAAAGATAAGTCCCTAAGGAATTAAGAGAGCATAGAATCTAGAGCAAAGATGAAGGAATTTGCTAGGCAAGACAAGGGACATCTCTTCCTATGAAAAAGGAATAATTTGGGCAAAAATAGAAAGAATGCATGCCGAGAACCATAATTTTCTATTTGATAAATAAAATAATTTGCAGTGGGGAATAGTCATAGTGAGAAATAAAAGAAGGATCACAGAAGATCAACTAAAACTAGACCTCACCACCCTATAGTGGTGTCAATGAAAACAGTTGGGAAGTGTTCTTAAGTAAACTGAGTGAAGATATCATATGACCCATAGTAAAGAGAGAATGAAATCATGATGCCAATTTTTGTTTCTTATATAACAGTTCAGGGTTATAAAATCAGCCATTTGTTCATAACTGCACTATTATTCATACTACAAAGAAAATTAGCTTACTTGAGAGCTGAGCATCAATAATCATGGAAGACGAAGTTGATGACTGTTCATTTCTTGCACCAATTTGAACCAGGGATGCATTTTTAATGTTATTTTCCTCTAAATTCCAGTTATTCTTATGTAACAAGCCTTCAATATTGGTGACTTTACAGCTAATACCACAGCCTGGTACGACCTGGAAATCTATGCAGGTACCCAAGGTTTCAGTGTCCAGCTCCTAACAAATAGAAACAGAAGAATTTCCTCTGTTGAGCTGATAATCCAAGGTCATCCATTAGCAAGATCGAACAATACTCCTGGTGAATTCTAAGTATTTTGAACAAAACTGTCATGTATCATTGCCTACTTGATAGTGGATTTTGATAAGAATAAAGAAACAGCATTGAGTATAAAATACAAAGTTACAGGAGAGTCTCAAAATCCTTTGTTTTAATTTTACTGTCTCAAATTTGTAGAAAATATGGAAGCCCTGCTATTCTCTGCCATTTCCAATAGAGAATCATAAGTTAAATTTTTAATTCGAAATCAAGTCAGGTTTTCTATTCAGTGCAGGGCAAAGGGTAACAAAGAACAGGGCCTTTAATTACCAGAGTACACTATCATCTCATTCTGTGTCCTTAGTAAGCCCAAAGAATTCTGGGGGCCACCATTGTTTCCTGGCTCTTTATATCTTCATCCTGTCTACTGTTTGATTTGAGTGTAAAGAAACCAGTTAGTAAGAATTAGTAAGAGGAAAGAACAAATAAAGAAATGGCAACACCAGTGATAAAATTGTCACATTTTAAGTGTAAAGTGAATGAGAGATAATTAATAAAGAATTTACACAAATCAATGAGAAAAAAAACAGACCTATGGGGAAACAGGCAAAAGATACAGACAGGTTAGAGAAAAACAAATTCAAATGGCCAATAAACATAAAAAGATGTTCAACCTTACTCATAATTAAAGAATGCAAAGCAAAGCATCAACAAGTAAATGTTTTTCATGTTAAATTGGAACAAAAATATTGGTAAGAATGTAGGGAAATGAGCAGCCATAATTTTGGGTGCTGGTATAATCTGGTAGAAACTCTTATATTGGCATTGGTAATATTCATCATATAGGTGTTTCTAATATTCATCAAAATTTAATTGCAAGCATCCTTTGATCTAGCAATTGCACTGAGAGGCATTTAACAGAGACGGACTTACAAAAACTCATGAAGATGTACAGTGTACATTATAAAAGCCAAAAAATCAATCATACAACAGAATAGTCATTAAAAACAATATGATACAGAAAATTCATCTAACCAAATAAAAAGCAAGGTATCAAAGACTGGTCATTGTATGGCCTTTGTATGTAAAGTTTTGAAAAATGATAAATATAAGTAGGTTTGTTTATGCACTAAAAATGGTTAATGAGCCCAATGCAATGGTCTGTATGTATATACTCAGCTACTCAGGGGCCTGAGACAGGAGGAGCACTTGAGCCCAAGAATTAGGAACCAGACTGGGAATCACAGGGAGACTCCATCTCTTTTTTTAAAAAAATGGTTAACAGGTGCACACCTTTGTAAATAAACCCAAAATTATTAACCATGTACTTTAAAAAGATGAATTTTATACAATTTATCTCTTAATAAAGTTGTCATTAAAAATGACTGGAGGAGATTAACAACTGTTAAATTTTGGAGAGAGAAATTATAGAAGGGGGAAGAAAATGAGGTTTTTGCTTTTTATTATATAATTCACTGAACTATTTGAATTTTCCTATCATAAATATATATTACTTCTACTTTAATTTTTAATGTAAACAGGGGTTATCTATGTGGTAGGATTATAGTTGAGTTTTGTATTCTTCTTTATATGTGACTGTGTGAAGAAATAAGACATGTATGGTTAAATGAAAAAATACAAGTCTTTTAGCCTCTTATCAACTATATAGCTAAACTATAGCCAAACACCAGTCTAGATTTGGCTTGTGTAGTTTCTGCAGGAGATGACTGTAAAAGAGAAAAAAAACATACCTGCTTGCAGTATTTTGTTACAGCTGCTCCTATAGGGTGTTCACTGTTACTTTCAGCAGTCCCCACAATGGCTAGGATCTTATTACGTGATATCCTATTACTTTCCACTAGAACCTTTACTTGGTTCACTACTGGGGTTCCATGGGTAATGGTTCCAGTCTTATCGAATACCACTACCTTTACCTGTAAGAAAATTAAAAATACAATGCATCTATGAATTGATAATCCTTAACATCACCTTTCCAGAAATGAGAAAATACTTACTTTGACAAACAGATTACTATTTTGTTTTGAATAGACTGACTTTTGACTTAATTTGACTTCATGGTCTTTGGGAAAACAAAAGGAAAAGAAAAGGAAAAACACTCAACAGTTTAATACTGCTAAATGTCTGAGAATACGTGATTAAACAATCAGAGCTAATTGTTAAGGGTTGACTGTTAATAGGTAATTAAGAGGCTTCTGGAGCCTCCAGGGAAAACACAAAGGCTTTCAATACTAATGAATTATAGATCCATTGGGGAAATCTGGGCAGATGATTATACACAAATCAATGAGAAAAATAGATGATTATAAGAAAATAGTTAAGTAATTACGCTGAGATGAGTGCCCGTAAAGACTAGCTGTGTTGCTTTGGCTTGATTTGAGACTTGGGCTGAGAAGAGAAATCTCAGGGAACCAAAGTGGGAAAGTCAGCCCACAATGGAAAAGGGAAGAATCTGGAATTCCAGAACACACGCACCTCACTGTAAATGCAAGATAAGAATCTTGGAAAACAATAGCTCAAGGAACAAAGATTAAAGAGAAATGAATATTAAATACAAATCATGATTCTGGACAAGAAAAAATATAGCTATAAAGGGCATTAGTGAGACAATTGAGGAAACTGGAACATGGGTGTAGATAATAGTATTATATCAATATTAATTTCTTGATTTTGATAATTGTACTGTGGTTACATAACGGAGTGTCTTTGTTCTTCAGAAAGGTGCCCATCACCTGCAGCAAAGGTCGTATGGTTCTCTATCCTAGTCCTGCAACTTTAAATTTGGAATTATACCAAAATAAAAACATTTCTGTGAAAATGGCCTGTATTCACTGGCTAGATACAGTTCCAGATTTCTTCTATATTTATTGCATGCATCTGTATATACTTTATATCCTCATATTAGTAGAAATGTGTGTATTTATTTATTTATGAATGAAATGTGGTTTTAATTGAAGTCAAATAGCCTTAATTGAGATTATGAAATCCTAATATGAGACAGATCAGGGACACAATTATACTTCTGAAGTCATGGCTTAGAACTGCCAGCTGGTGGCAGCAAAGGCAAAGAAAGTGCATTGTAAAGGCAGGTTCAAGTTAAAGCTAAAGAACATAAACAGGGAGTCACACACAAATGCATTAGAAGCCTGCTAATCTTTGGCAAATTTTCCCAAGTAAATAGTTATTCCATCTTCCTGCCCTAAAGACTTGTCTAGACTGAGCTACAGGTTTCCCACATCAGTCTGCTCTAAGAAAATAAATCTGAAGTATTTTTAGAGATCTTCGATAACTAAATCCAATCTGAAGCAGAACCAAAACACTTTTCTACCTCAACCATCAGAACAGTCCAAGAAAAAACTCAGCTTATGAACTACGTGGAAATAATTTAGGACTCTCTTCTCAAGAAGGATGCTATTACAAGTTTGGATGGGGCAATTTGTAGTTCTGGGAACTGCCTTACCTTATGAGCCATCTCCAATGGCTCTCCACCTTTGATAAGTATGCCATTTTGAGCACCTACTCCTGTACCCACCATCACAGCAGTTGGAGTGGCCAGTCCCAGTGAACAGGGACATGCAATACACAAAACTGTGATAGAGGCTTGGAAAGCAAAGCGTATTATCGTTTCTGTTCGGGAGATACTTCTATTGTAGCCCTTTAGAAGAAAGGTATAAATTTTGGTTAATTGATTTAAAGCTGTTCAAAAGAAAAGAAACAAAGCTTAGCCCATTTAAATAAGACAACAATGTTAAAGTTACATATCCTACCTAGATACCAACATATATGTTTTGGTTCATGAATATAATAGTGACGTAACTGATAAATAAGTACTAAACTCAAGATTTCATTTTTTATTACTCCAGCATTACAAACTATGGAGTAATTATAAAAGGAAGACAAAACTCCACTTTTTTCTTTTTTTTCCTTCTTCTTCTTTCTTTTTTCTTCACCATATGAAGACTGAGTGTTCATACTATGAACTTTTAGGAATAGCTATAAACATGGGGCATGATTCTCAATAAATGTGATTCTGAACAAATAGAATTGTAGTCCTCTGCATGCTAAGATCATAAATCTGGGGCTGGGGATATAACTCAGCTGACAGAGTGATTGCCTTACATGCACAAGGCCCTGGGTTCAATTCCCAGCAAAACACACACACACACACACACACACACACACACACACCAAAAAAGAGATCATAAATCTGCCTTTTACACTATTCTTTAAAGACAATGAAAAAACTCACCTGGCATGTCAAGATATTTAAATCATATTTCAACAAAATTCTTTCAGATGTAACAATGTGAACTGAGCTTATGCCCTAGTTGAGCTCCTAGTAACACTGAGTGCTCATGTGGGGAAATATGATTAGCAGTTTTAGGCAAAATCTCTGAGGACCCATGGAATTCATGAGAAAAATTCCTGAAGAACACACATTCTAAAATATTTTCCAACAATCTTTTTTTTTAATTTTTTTAAAGTTGTAGTTGGACACAATACCTTTATTTTATTTATTTATTTTATTTTTTTTTATTGGTTGTTCAAAACATTACAGAGCTCAAGACATATCATCTTTCATACATTCGACTCAATTGGGTTTTGAACTCCCCAAATACATAATACAGACTCACTTCTGTTACATACTCACATTTTTACATAATGGCATATTAGTGACTGTTGTATTCTGCTACCTTTCCTATCCCCTACTATCCCCCCTCCCCTCCCCTCCCCTCCCAACATCCCTCTCTACCTCCTCTGCTGTTGTTCAATTCTCTCCCCTTTTTTTCCCCCCATATTTATTTATTTTTATGTGGTACTGAGGATGGAACCCATCGCCTTGATGTGCTAAGTGAGCACTCTACCACTGAGCCACAACCCCAGCCCCCTTCCAAAAATCTTACTGTTAATTGTGCACTTAACCAAGATTGATAGCTTAAACAAATATTTTCATATTATGTACATATATGTTATACTAATAAATGATGTACGCATATGATGTACTAATGACTGAAACACGAAATAGATACACAGTTGTTATGATTCTTTTTTTGTTTTGTTTTGGGTTGGTTTTGATACCAGGGAATGAACTCAGGGGCACTCAGCCACTGAGCCACATCCCCAACCCTTTTTCAGATTTTATTTAGAGACAGGGTCTCCCTGAGTTGCTTAGTGCCTTGCTTTTGCTGAGGCTGGCTTTGAATTCTCAATCCTCCTGCCTCAGCCTCCCAAGCTGCTGGGATTACAGCCATGTACCACCATGTCCAGCTATTTTTTTTAATACCAGGGACACTTAACCACTGAGCTATACCCCCAGCCCTTTTTTATTTTGAGACAGGATCTGAGTTGCTCAGGGCCTCACTAAGTTGCTTGAGTTCATAAACCTCCTGCCTCAGCCCCCTGAGTTACTTGGGATTTCAGATGTGTGCCCCCACACCTACTTTCTACTTTTTCTTTAACTGAAGGAACAAAAAGTATAAAACAGTGTACAGCAAGGCATTTAAAAAAAATAAAACAAAGTAAATCTTTCTTAAAGTGCTAGGGTTTTTACTAAGTTCTTAAATATTCAACCAACAATAGATCTATATAGAAATAAAATTGGAAAAGATTTTTACAGATATCTAATGTTATGCTTTCATGTATATCATATATGTATGTTTTCACATATGTTATGTTTTAACTAATACTAATTATAATTCTACAATGTAGGTATTATTATTTCTATTGTATAGCTAAAAAAATGGAAGATTACAGAAGTGATTTAAATTTATATATCTAATTTGAGGCATAGAACAAGTCTACTTTATCACTTTACAACAACAAACTTTAGAGATCATCTAAAGTTTTTCTAGGGGCTGGGATTGTGGCTCAGTGGTAGAGCGCTTGCCTAGCACGCCCGGGACCTGGGTTCGATCCTCAGCACCACATAAAAATAGAGCATTGTGTTGTATCCATCTACACCTAAAAAATAAATATTTTTTAAAAAAATAAAAAAAATAAAAAAATAAAGTTTTTCTAATGTATCTATATAGTCTTTTGTGAAAACAAAATCACGCCAGAAACAAGACTAAGTATAAAATGCAAAAGTTCAATACTTCCTTTTGGAAAAATCACAAAGCATAATGAAAATTTTTTTCCAAAAGGAAATCTTTTATGTTTACATAAAAGCAAGTTTATTCTCATGAGTCTCCCACTCCATCCCCTTAAAGATACAGTAGTTTCCAATTATCTGTGGTTTGAATTATTAGCAGTTTGAGAAAACTGTGGTCCAAAAAATATTAGGTGGAACCAGGCATGATGGCACACGCCTATAATCCCAGAGGGAAGGAGGATTACGAGTTCAAAGCCAGCCTCAGCAACTTAAGAACCCCTGGGTCCCATCCCCAGTACAAAAAAAAAGATTATATATATGAAAATTACAGAATAAATAATTTGTAAGTTTTAAATTGCATGCCATTATGAGTAGCCTGATGAAATTTCATTCTGTCCCACTGGGATATGAATTATCCCTTTGCTCAGCATATCAATGCTAAATACTACTCACCCATTAGTCACTTAGTAGCTTTCTCTCAGTTATCTGAACAACTGTTGAGGTATTGCAGTATTTGTGTTCAAGTAGTCCTTCTTTTTTTAATATTTATTTTTTAGATTTAGGTGGACACAATATCTTTATTTTACATTTATGTGGTGCCGAGGATCAAACCTAGTGTCTCATGCATGCTAGGTGAGTGCTCTACCTCTGAGCCACAACTCCAGCCTAAGTAGTCCTTCTTTTATTTAATAATGTCCCCAAAGTTCAACAATATGATTTTGACAATTTGAATATGACAAAGAGATGTCATAAGTGCTTCCTTTAGGTGAAAAGGTAAAAGTTCTTGACAATAACGAAAGAAAAAAATTATGCTCAGGTTGCTAAGATCTACTATAAAAATGAATCATCTACTAGTGAAACTGTGAAGGAAGAAAAATAATACAGGCTAAATTAGTTGCATATCAAACTGCAAAGTTATAGTCACAGTACACGATAAGAACTTAGTTAACATAAAAAAGGCATTAAATTTGTGTGTGTATATTATATATATTCACACACACACACACACACACACACATATATATATATATATATATAAATGAATGAAAATTATATATATAGTATTTGGTACTATCTGTGCTCTTTCAGGCATCCACTGAGTAGGGTCTTAGAACATGTTCCCTGGAGAGAAGTAGATACTAGAGTAGTGGTAATTTTTTTTTTTTTTTTTTGGAACTGGGGATTCAAGATTCAACCCACATCCCCAGCCTTATTTTGTATTTTATTTAGAAAAAGGGTCTCACTGAGTTGCTTAGTGCCTCAGTGTTGCTGAGGCTAGCTTTGAACTCATGATCCTCCTGCCTCAGCCTCCCAAGCTGCTGAGATTATAGGCATGTGCCACCATACCCAGCCAATACCCTTTACCCAATTTATTTTTTCTTTTTGGAGCCAGGCCTTATGCATGCCAGGTAAGCAAGCATTCTACCACTGATCTATACTCCCAGCCCATACTGGTAATTTTATAAATTATGTCCACATAATTACTTCTGCAAAAGACTCACAAATGGTTTTGCATAATGAGTTGTTCCAAGTCACTTACAGGAAAGTAGGTTTCCACAATTTCAAAATTCAGAAATCCAATTATAATCCATACCAAGAGGGTAGCAATGGAAACAAATACGATAAAGGGAACAAAATAGCCACTGAGTTTGTCAGCAAACTGCTGGATAGGAGCCTAGAATTAAAAATCATAACAATAATAATTATTATTTTATCTCAAAGTCTCCTTTTCTGATACTGAATACAGAAGATTTTTTCAGTAATTAGCACAGATAGAAATATCTTAATAAACCCCATAATCATTCAACAAAAATAATTAAAGAAAATATAAAATCTTGAACAAGATTTACTTGGAGAAGGCTTTAAGGAAAATACTTTTCTTTTTCTACTGGGGGGGGGGTTAAGCTACCTTTGATGTTTGTGCCTCCTCCACAAGTTTGACAATTTGAGAAAGGGTTGTGTCTGCTCCAACATGGGTTGCTCGGATAAGTATGGACCCATTCTGGTTAATGGAACCAGCAATCACTGTGCTGCCAGGTTTTTTAGCCACAGGCATTGCCTCCCCTGTAGGAATAGTAAAGAGATTCAGGCAGCATAGATGATCACTACTTTCAAACATACTACCATTTGTTGACTGGCAAGAAATAAGGAAACTACTGGCATGTATAACTAAAAAGAACAAATTTTTTAGAAAGAAACTAGAGAAGATTCTCCCTTTATGAAATAGATACTGGACAAATGCCTAGGTGAAAGATGCCTTCCCCTTTTCCTCATGTCAGTTCTAGAACAAACCCAGGGATACATACTTCAAACTGAAAACCCTGATATGTTAGCTCTTGCTAAGAGATACTTTTGGAACTTCACCCTAGTCCTAGATCACTGGTTCTCAACTTGTTCTCAAGGAGCACTTAGAAATGTAGGCAGGAGTTTTTCTTTGCAATAAAAATGACTGGAATGAAAGGGCATGGGAAAATGGACCAAGGACAGGGACACTAATTTGTACTACAGTGAATAAGACAGTCCCCCTGAACTAAGACTTTTCCCATCCAGATTGGAAAAGGCACCCCTACAGAGCATTAAATTATTTCTCCATGGTCTATATATTGAGCCCCTTCTGGGACTATCTGGAGAGTTGAGGAGGAAAGAAGTTATTTTAATTCTGCCCCTAATTGGCCTTAATTATCTAAGACCTCTAAAAATACTCTAGGCCTACTCTCTTTTAGAGCAGACCCTGATACAAAACCTTGTATTTGTAATCCAGATCAGACTCCACCAGTCTTTTGGGCAAGAAGAGAGAACAGATAATTTCCCAGAAAAAAATTTGCCAAAGCCTATCTGGCTCTAAAGGAGACTAAGACAACTTCCTTTGGTTAGGAATTCGGGTAATTAATAATCTTCAATGAAGAGTCTCCAATAGCATAACTAAAACCACAAAGCAAATCTGAAGAAACTCATTTAACACAATCTTAAAAGTAATTCATATTCTCTTTGCTCATAATTCACTCACGTACAGATTCTACAAAAAGTGCTTCATCTTTAGTGCCTATATTCATTAACACTTTGGATTCAGTTCACTTTCATATCACGAGCCTCTAAAAGAAACATTACCTGTGATGAGGGATTCATCTACCATAGAATGTCCTTCAATAACTCGACCATCCACTGGAAATTTGCCTCCTGGAACAACTTTAATGATATCTCCACGTTGTACAAGTTCCACATCCACTTGTTCTTCACTGAATGTAAGTTAACATAAAAAGTATCATAACAATATAGTTTTTACCCTGACCTACCCATGTAAGCTTTGTAGCTCATGTCAAGCTTCAGGCTCCATAATTACTACCAACGGAAGCTAAGATCTAAGTCAGAACTACCACATTGGTCTTGCTCACTGTTAGTGAGCACAAAATATTTGTTGAATAGTCATTTAATGAATATTTATTAAATATTTGTTGAATAGTCATTTAATAAATAAGTGAAAGATTTAAAAATAATGTTATGGGTTCTATTTAACTGAAAAATTTATTGTGTAAATTTGTCTAATAAGTTTACGAGTATAAAACTGACAAATACAAAGTAATGGAATCTAATCAAGCCTTTAGCTCTAATTTCCAATTTATAAGTAACATAGGAGTTACTGAATAAGTTAAATGAACCAAGTGTGGAGGCACACACCTGTAATCCTAGTGATTCAGGACTCTGAGGCAAGAGGATTACAAATTTGAAGCTAGCCTCAGCAACTTAGCAAAGCCCTAAGCAACTCAGTAAGACCCTGTCACAAAATAAAAAAGGTGAGAAATGTAGCTCAGTGGTAAATCACCCCTGGGTTCAATCTCCAGTACAAAAAAAAAATAAATAAATAAAAATAAACAAGTTAAATGATACCACAAGAAAGCTAAGAGACAAATTTAGATAGTGGAATATTATATAGAACAACTGATGGATGCTTCTTCAACAAGTCAATTATATTGGGGGTGGGGAGAAAGAGAGGAAGGAGATATTCTAGATTAAAAGACACATAAGAGGGGCTGGGGATGTGGCTCAAGCGGTAGCGTGCTCGCCTGGCATGTGTGCGGCCCGGGTTCGATCCTCAGCACCACATATATACAAAGATGTTGTGTCCACGGAGAACTAAAAAATAAATATTAAAATTCTCTCTCTCTCTCTCTCTCTCTCTCTCTCTCTAAAAAATGTATAAAAAAGAAACATAAGATACATGATAGGAATGTATACATGAATCAAAACATCACACTGCATCTCAAATATTTACAAATATTGTGTGTCAATAAAAACTCAAATAATGTTTTTTAATATCAGGGATTGAACCCAGTGGGGGCTTAACCACTGAGACACATCCCCAGCTATTTAGAGAAGGGTCTCACTGAGTTGTGTGGGGCCTCAATAAATTGCTGAGACTGGCTTTGAGCCACTGGGATTACAGGCACATGCCACCATGCCTGGCAAAACTCAACTAATTTTTAAAAACTGCAGATGATACAGTGATATTATTTGAATTGTATTTCAAACAAAGATACTTAAGACATTTTGGAGACAAAAGGAGAAATGTGAATACGGATTGATTATTAGAAGACATTAAGTAGCTGGGCATGATGGTGCACACCTGCAATCCCAGTGACTTAAGAGGCTGAGGCAGGAGGAGAATTGCAAATTCAAGGCCAGTCTCAGCAATTTAATGAGACTCTTATCTCAAAATAAAAACAAATAAAAAGCACTGGGGATATGGCTCAGTGGTAAAGCACCCCTGGGTTCAAAAAAAAGAAGACATTAAGGAATCATTGTTTACTTTGATAGATGTAAAATGGAATATGTCCCCCTTTTTAGAAGTATTTATATAGAATTTTAGCAATAAAACAATATGGTTTGGATATGCTTTTTTTGGGAAGTATTGGTGATTGAACCCAGGGGTAATCCACCACTGAGTTACATCTCCAGTCTTTTTTGTTTGTTTGTTTGTTTTTGAGACAGGGTCTCACTAGGTTGCCCAGGCTGGCCTAAACTTCTACTACAACAACAGAAAGAGAGATAAAATGACTAGATGAAGTAAAGCGTGGCAAAATATGGAAAACTGTTAAGTCTGGGAGATGGATTATGTGGTCTTATGAAACTTTTCTCTCTACTGCCGGGTATATTTGAAAATTTCTGTAAGAAGTTAAAAAAAGAGAAAGGAAAAGAATGAAGATAAATACCTCAGGAGGATATTTTCAGAGTTAAGAGTTACAATAGTTGCTTCTGTAGCTTGTAGTGAAATCAGCTTTGCAAGAGCCTCTGATGTTTTGCCCTATAAATTAAAACAAATACATTAGCAATGCTAAGAAATAGAATGTTCAGATCTTAATTAAAATTAAGATATAACTTTAACATATACCAAAAAGTCAGCTTTGGAAATATTAATTTGTTCAAACGAGAAAAAAGTTCATATCAAAAATATGAAGCAGGGCTGGGGCTGTAGCTCAGTGGCAGAGCACTTGCCTAGCATGCATGAGGCACTGGGTTTGATCCTCAGCACCACATAAAAATAAATAAATAAAATAAAGGCATTTTGTCCATCTATAACTACAATAAAAATATTTAGAAATGAAGCATACAAAATATTGAAAATATTAAATATATTTTATGAAAAGTATACATTAAAAAGAAAATATTAGGAATTCAATAAATACATTGGAAAATGACATAATAGGCAAATCATTTAAAAAGAAATATAAATATCCACTGCATGGAATAGTGTGTATTACTAATGGAAAATATACAAGCTAAAGCAACCCATTAATATCATTTAATGCCTAATAACTTTGCAAAGATTTAGATAAAATGCAATGCTGATTAGGTTGTAGTACACTAGTTCACTGACATACCCTTGACGGCAAAACACTTCTGGCTACAACTTACAGCAAGAAACAGGGAAAGTTTTATGCCCTTTAACCTGGTAATCACATTCTTTATAATTTCAATAAAGATACTAGTTCAAAGGAAATAACTATTAGACATGAATATGTTCAATGCAGAATTATCTAAAATTTTTTAAAAATGGAAACAACCTAATTGTGAACAAAAGCAGAATAGTAAACTAAAGAATGCTGACTTAATATGCTATTATTCAGAAATATTAATAATTGCCGGGTGCGATGATGCACACCTGTAATCTCAGCAGTTGGTAGGCTGAGGCAGGAGGATCACAAGTTCAAAGCTAGCTCAGCAAAAAGGAGGTGCTGAGCAACTCAGTGAGACTCTGTCTCTAAATGAAATAGAAAATAGGGCTGGGGATGTGGCTCAGTGGTTGAGTGCCCAAGTTCAACCCCTGGTATGCCCCATAAAAAAAAAAGAAAGAAATATGAAATAATTCTCTAGACTGCAAAAACTGGGGAAAAAACTTTATAGTGTTAAGGATACAAAGTGCTAAATATACATTATGTTTGCAAATCTTAAATAGAAAGGAATTAGAAAGCAACTTAAATTATAACATGGGACCATGGATGAAATTTTTCCATCATTATTTTAAACCATGTGGTTACATCAGTCTTTTAATTAGTAATGTGATATAAATAAGTGTTTCTCAAATATCTCCCTCTTAAAATAACCATGTACATACTTTATTCTATAAATTTGTTAAACCTATTAAAGTACTATTCAACTTAAATATTACCAAAACAAAAATACTTCTTTTATGAAAGGGAATCAGGAGAAATGGGAGGGAAAACTAAAGGAAGGTAATGGGGAAGTAGATAAATCAGAGTATGTTATTGGCATGTACTTATATGTCACAATGAGACCATTCAAATGCACTAATAAAAAATGTTCAAAGGGGAGGTACTGGGGAATGGAATTAACCAAATTACATTATATGCATATATGAATATGTAACAACAAATCCTATTATTATGTATAATTATAATGTACCAAGAAAAGTAAATTTTAAAAACCAATTTTTCCCAAAACCTACTTATTGCAATAAATGGTTACTATATAAATCAATGTAGAAAATATTGTGGTCATTTATCTGATACCCAGGATTTTAATAAACATCAACTTTTATTACTTTACCTTTGCTATATGTTCCAGCCATCGGCCTAGTGCAATAAACACAAACAACATAGGAGGTGTGTCAAAGAAAGTAATAGGGTTCACTTTGGCTCTCTCATACATTGCAACCAGAAGAATAACCAAAGAGTAGGCAAATGCAATGGTGGTTGCCAGCACAATCAGTACATCCATATTTGCTGTCTTATGCTTCAATGCTTTGTAAGCTTGAATATAGAAGTACCAGCCTCCGAAAAACTGTAATATAGGAATGATAATCTTTCAGTATTTAAAAATACCAAAATCCACATGTACACTTCAACAACTTAAAGTATCAATATCTACAATTCCTTTGGCTTTTAACTGATACACAAATATAAGGGGAGATTTTTAAGCTGAGGCAAGTTTATATTTTAGCAGATGTGGATGTAGAAAGAGAGATTCAAATTGCTGTACAAGTCCTTGAGAGCTGTCTTTTGTGATCCAATGGATATTTCACATTATAAGAAAAGATAGCTAGTTCTTGGATTTTTCTTTTTGATATTAACAAAACACAACAAGGACAAAAATTTACATTTTGGTCAGGATTTTAAAATGTTTTTGATATACATGTTAAAAGTTAAAATAACAAAAGAATCTATTTTGATACATTTATATGAGCACGGACTATACCTTATTCTAATTAGGATCCCTAATTAGGATGTAATGTTGAGATTCACTGTGGTGTATTTATATATGTATGTAGTAAAGTTATATCAGAGGGCTGGGGATGTGGCTCAAGTGATAGCGCGCTCGCCTGGCATGCGTGCGGCCCGGGTTCGATCCTCAGCACCACATACAAACAAAGATGTTGTGTCTGCTGAGAACTAAAAATAAATAAATAAATATTTTAAAAAAAAGTTATATCAGATTCATAAAACTCAACCCCTTCACCTAGTACCATTAGTCATCCTAAATGGTATTTTACAAGCTATTGGATCTATTGGCTGCATTTGTTGGTAAACATAACTGGAAAGCTCATTTTCATTAGTATGAGAAACATACTAAGATGTTTTTAAAATCATTATTACCTTTTATAAGGATCAAATAAAGGAAGAAATTTATTAAATGGAAGTGTTCTATTCCACAGAGTTCATCTCAAGGGCTGGGGTTGTGGCTCAGTGGTAAAGTGATTGCCTAGCACGTGCAAGGCCCTGGGTTTGATCCTCAGCACCATGTAAAAATAAATAAATAAATAAAGGTATAGTGTCCAACTAAAAAATAAATATATATATAAAAAGGTTATCTCAAAACAAGGGTTGAAAACATATAGAAAGTAAGAAACCGAAGTGCCAGGGAAAAATAATAAATATAAAGCTATATTCAGAAATAAATATGAATATCAAATCCAAAAATTTGAATTCTTGTTCTCTGCTTTGTCATTAACAACATTCTTAGGAATTAAATGACATCTTTTATGTACTTCAACTAACTATTCAGTTTAAAATTAGTTTTGTAAAACATCCAACATAAAATGATCAGATATCTCACTAATACCTGTTTTGCAATCAGAAATAACTTCCCCGGCCACATTTTGGATATTTTTTCATTACTACCAAATATGCATGCTATATTTCACTTGCCTGTACAGGTACACATAATAAAAAAGACAGCAAATTCATAATGGACAATCCTGGCAGGATCTGGCGCTCCAGGAACATAGAAGAATGAATGTTGATCATTTCCTCATTACTAATGTTCCGATTATGGTGAAGAGTTGTAAGGTGGTGGTCCATAACCATCATATATATCATCAGCCCCATTACAGGAATACAGAAAAATAGGCTCACAAGGAAGGACCGTCTCCATCTTACATGGAAAAAAGTAAGAAAAGAAAGATAATTTATTAAGTAACTAATGGTTAAAGATACTATATACTATAAAGAAATTCAAATTGTAACCTTTCTACCTAGTATAAGGATGACATAAAAACTTATATGCTATCAAGAAGTTAAATTTTCAATGAGAGTCAAAATCTGTTTTTTTTACTGACATCCCAAAAAAGTACTTACTGTCTTATTTCTCGTTTATGGTCTAGGTGACTTGCTGACCGGTCCTTCTTGACCAAAGAAGCTTCAAAACCTAAGCTCTAAGGAAATTCATGAGAAAACAATTATTTCACTCAACATATAAATATTATATAGAGAAATTCTAAGCCATGATATTGTTATTTAGAGCAATTCAGTTCAATTACTGAGTGTAAGTCCCTCTGGGAAATATGTAGATTATGTGCTTCCTGATGTTGATTACCTTTGTTTCTAATATTTCATCAAATAAGTTAATATTTCCTTAATTTTAGTTAATGTCTATCTTTCTTCTCTCAAACTAACAATTTAACTCAACTGCAGTTGTCCTCAGTAGAGGTTCTCATTAATAGTTCACAAAAGGGCTGGGATTGTGGTTTGGCGATAGCGTGCTCCTCTTGCACGTGGGAGTTGCTAGGTTCAATCCTCAGCACCACATAAAAATAAATAAATAAAATTAAAGTATTGTGTCCAATTACAACTAACAAAAAAAATTTTTAAAAATAGTTCACAAAAGCTAGCACCACACTAAATACATTATTCAAGGCCTCATGTATGCTAGTCTTGATTCTGATTCCATCAGAAATAGAACTTAAATGAAAATCATTTTCCCCAATAAAACAAAGTATAAAAAGGAAATTACACATCTAAGTGAGACTCACATGAGTTTAGATACTAACATACACTATATTTTTAATTGCTAGGAAAACTGTTGCCATCTTACATCTCGGTAGTGTAGTATAGAGAAGAGAGAGTGATTAGGTTCAAATCCCAGTTATACTTACCAGTTATGGACAAGTAACTTCTCATAACCTGAGTATCCTCACCTCCAAAATTAAGATGGCTATGCTGCTATGGGAATTAGGAATTGAAGCTTTGCAATCTTGCATTATTGAGTACCTTCATGTCAATATGATACCTTTGTGTCATAGGTACTCAATAATTCTAGCTTCAGTAAGATGTTAATGGTATTGTTACCTTTACTAATTGGATCTTCTCTGAATTATTAATATACTTTAGATTATTGGAAGATCAATCTTACAGCACATTGAAATTTTTAAAGGACTTTCCATGTATTATTGCTTAAAATTTGCTAAAGAACACAGGATAAATATGGTGCAAAGAAAAGGGCTTGTCTTTTTAATTCTTTTACTTTAACTTAAAAACAGAGTTTTTGCTTTGACCTAACAATGTATCTAACATGATGCTTCATCTGCTTAGTGATTAACAAAAATCTTACTCATAACAAATCTGATTTATTTCCATTTTCTATAGCTTATGGTATATTTAGAGTATAGCTTATGGTATAGCTTATGCCTAACATGTGTGAAGCCCTAAGTTTGATCCCCAGCATCACACACATAAAAAGTCTTCACTTCCATTTTCTAAATATTTTACGTGAATTGTAGTTCTAACTTAAGTCTTTTTGTAATTAATAGTGCTTTAAATGTACCTTTGCTTAAATTTTCCTAACAAAGACCAAGGGAAAAAATCAGAAACATTTGCATTAGATTTTGAGATAGAGAGATCTTGTCTGGAATATTTAAAGGGGTCAGATTTTTTTTTCATTATCTCTATCTGAAGCAAAAAGATGTGATATACTGAGGTGTTGGTTAAGTAGGTAAGAATACAGAAGTGCAAAGCCTTGGTACTTACTTCAATTGTATGGATAATATCTCTGGGACCAATAATTTCTGGATCATATTTAATATGTGCTTTGTTTGTTGCCAGGGCCACAGAGCAGTAGAAGACCCCTCTGTGTTTTGTGAGAGTAGACTCTATTTTATGTACACAAGAGGCACATGTCATTCCTCTTACCTGTTGAAGAAAAAGCCTTTGTTATTCAGAAATATTCTTTTTCTTCCATTAAATATGAGTTAGTACTTTTAACTAAAAGGACTCTTATGAAAAATCTCATTTGTCCTGTTAGTATGCTTCAGATATTATCATTAGAATATCATTTTTATATTTTATATTAGAATATCATATTTATATTACATGAAACAAAGATATATAGTCCTAACTACTATAGGAGAATATTTCATTAAAAATCTATCTCTTCCTGTCCCTACTACTAAGTAATAGAGGATTTGGTATCTCTCATTGTTTCTCATATCTAAATGCCTTGCTTCTCTCTAGATTTTTTTGCATCCTGCTGAAGTAAATAGCCTTTAATATTACTTTTAGTGAAAGTTAATAGGTGACTAAAAAGTTTCAACTTTGTGTCTATAAAGATATGGTTTTCTCTACATCTTAAGTTGGGTTATTGTTTAGTTGTGTATTAAAATTTAAATTGAATGGGCAGGATTTTCAAAATGATTATGTGAGGACCTCAGCAAATCCTTTCCTCAAAGAAAAACAATAGGCCAGGCCTATCACAGGTGCACACCTTTAACACTGGCAACCTTGGAGGCTAAGGTAGGAAGACAGCAAGTTTGAGGCCAGCCTGGGCAACTTAGAGGGATTACAGGCATGTGCCACTGTGCCTGGCTGTACTGTTATTCTTTTAAATAGCTGTATTTTGTTCCATAACATGTCTACACTTAATTTATATAGCCATTTCTTATTAAAAGACATTTAGGTTGGATCTAAATTTTTGTTCTTAAAGTTTTATAACAAATATAACTTTATATATGCTCATATTTCTACAGGAAAGAACCCTAGCAGCTGATTTTCCAGGTTGGAGAAAATGATCTTTTTTGGAAAATGATCATTTGAAACCAGTATGCCCTACATCTGTTCTATAAATTCATTTATAAAATTTAAATCTTTAGTGTATCTGGAATTCATTCTTTACTAGATAGAAATCATGCTACATTAAAAAGTTGATTTTCATTTACTCATTCAAACCTAATTCTTAATGAACATACAACAATTATATTCTATGCTTGAAGACCACCACAAACTCATATTTTATCTTTCCTTTATTTCATTATATATCTTATTTTCCCAGCCTTTATCTTCAGAACTTTTCTATGAACCCTCACCAAGTTTCCCTGGAAATTTTAATAACCATACAAAAAGTCTTACTTACAACAAGTTCCAAAACACCATCCCCTTCATCAGCATTTTCTATCAAAGTGGCACCAAATCCAAGGTCTCGGATGAATTCTGCTATCAATGGTGGTTGTATAACAGTAGGATTATATCTTACTTCTGCCTTGCCAGCCATCAGGGCAACAAGTACAGAATATATTCCTAGGAACATTCATAGAGAGAATAAAACAATAGTGATAATAGTCCTTCTAAAAAAAGAGTAATGTTATAATTATATTTTTGTATTTTTTCATTTAACTATAAAGGATCAAAGTAAAATTAATTACTTAACTTTATACAAGTCTTGAACCCAAACCAAATAAAACTCTTTGTCCTTCATAAACCTTTTATGGAAAGTTTCAGCTATATATGCATAAGAGAGGAAAAACACAAATAACTTGATGCAAACATCACCCAGATTCTACAATTATCAATACTACTTGGCCAATTTTCTTTTTCTTTTAAGAAACAGGATCTCCCTATGTTGCCCAGACTAGCCTCTAACGCTTGGGCACAAGTGATTCTTGGGAAGTAGCTAGGACTACAGGTATGTGCCACCACACCCAGCTTTTATTTATCTATATTACTACTCATGGTATTCCTCGCCCTCTACCTGGATTATGTTGAAGAAAATCCCAGATGTTATATCATTTCATGTGTAAATATTTAAATATGTATTTCTCAAAGATAAAGACCCCAAAGATAATCAAAATAGGGTTGGGGTGTATCTCAGTTGTAGAATGCTTGCTTATCTTGCACAGAGCCCCAGCAACGCAAAATATAAATGAATAACCATAATACCACTTTGCACCTAAAATAATTCTTCATTATCATCAAATACTCAGGAAGTATTCACATTTCTACAAATTGTATTATAACTATTCATTAGTTTAACAGTTTTTTGCTTGAATTGGGATCCAAGTAAGCCCTATGGATTGTAATCGGTAAATTGACTATACTTGTAAACATAAGCATTTTTAGAAGCTAATAAGATAGAGTTCTGGAGAAAGGAACTTAGACAATCATCACAATTGTAGCAAAGAATCCAAGAATATACCAATGTACATATAGTAATATTATTAAATACTAATCATTTCTTAAAATTCTTCAGTTTCATTGTCTAGCACACACTAAGCTAAAAGGCTCTTATTCCTTGGGGGGAAAAAAGTGTCATACAACTTGCTAACAAAGCAATCAACATGATTGCTGTTTGTTGGTACACACTTTTGTTAAAATCCATTTCAGAGGCTGGGGATGTGGCTCAAGCGGTAGCACACTCGCCTGGCATGCATGTGGCCAAGGTTCGATCCTCAGCACCACATACAAACAAAGATGTTGTGTCTGCCGAAAACTAAAAAATAAATATTAAAAAATTCTCTCTCTCTCTCTCTCTCCTCTCTCACTCTCTTTAAAAAAAATCCATTTCACTTATGTAGACTAGCTACTGCTGTCACTGCAAGAAGATAATTAACTCCACACAGCAGAATAGCAGCCCTTTCTAGGAATCTGTGGTACTTGGTGGCTATCTGACAGGAAATGGAGCTAATAGTCCATAGGTCAGCTCCACAGTTTGACAGGAAGGAAAAAAATACTGAATATTAATTTAATAATAGTTTCAAGTTTAAAAGTACCTAATATACAAACTCTATGCATTTTGGGCTTTATGGGTACCAAATAATTGAGATGATCAGTTTACAAGAAGAATATCAATAGGAAGAGAAGGGTATACAGAAAGAGGGAAAAAATCTTTTTGCTTCAGTTGATTGTAATCTATAGCTAAGCAGAAACAGAAAGGAAATACAATTTTTCAGATTTCAAAAATGTTGAAACTTATGTTCAGGGGCTGGGGTTGTAGCTCAATGGCAGAGCGTTCATCTAGTATGTGTGGGGCACTGGGTTTGATCCTCAGAACCACATAAAATAGACAAAATAAATACATTCTGTCCATCTACAACTACAAAAAAATTAAAAAATATAAATTAAAAATATAAAAATTCAATCACTTATATAGTTAATTTTTAAAAATTCCTCTAACTATAATTGGAACTCTTTTGATTCTTTTCTTTTTCTTCTTTTTGGTAGTGGAAAATTCATTAAACCCAGAATGAATTTTTTTTTAAAAAAAAAAGCACCTGCTCTACAACTGAATTTTACTTTCACTGACTCTATTCATTTTTAGAAATATAATGCACACTTAAATGAGTAAATGCTAATGCTACTTAGTTTAAGAAAAGTGAATATAGTGACCCAAGCAAGGTTAGCAATATACCTAATTGGGCTAAGAGGTGATAAAGGGTACAGTATATAGTAAATGGAACAAAGTGCTGAATAAATTTAAAAAGTTTTGTAACTGGTACAGGTATTGCTCGTTTCATAAAAAGCCAATTTCTGAATTGCCCCAAAATATTCAGTTCTCTAATTAAATAGGAACCTTGCTAGCTTCTTTTTGTTCATTTGCTTGGCAACCTCCCTCTTTTTTGAAATAATCAAAATAACTTAAGTGTTTACCACATTCCAGTTTAAAATCATGGGGGGCTATAATGAAGGATGCAGACATAACAGAATGCAGATAAGATAGTATTAAACTGAAGATGGCTCTGTATATCATATATTTTGTTAAAATAATGTTTTCACCTTAATACACAGATGTTGTGATTATTACATACACTTGGAGTTATTTACCCAATGATGAGGGTAAGTTTACACTCATCCTTATTTCCTTATCCAACCCTTGTGAATGTATGACTGAGATATTTAGTAGGTTAGGACAACCTACCAAAACTAAGACTTAGATCTCATTAAACATAATACATAATCAATATATAATAACTGTAACATCTGAATGGTTAAGAAGAATCCTGTTACACTGAAAGTCTATAAGTATGAATGTATATAATAAGCTAAAACATCTGAGCATGATTGAATTAAAAATTGTGGTATAGATGTTCTAAAATTTATAACTTAAAATCTGGACACAATATTAAGCAATTTTTGCACAGTTTTACCATAAGCAAAGATCAGATATCAAACTGTTAGAAAAGAACAAATATAGTTTAAAAAAATATTGTTTTTGATCGACTGCTTGATCCAGGTCTGGTAACACTGAAACCCTGATGGATTCTAATTTTCAGTTTTAAGCATAGCTTTAACAGAAAATTTGTTTCTTAAAATCCATTGTAGCCATGATTCATAAATAAAAGTAATCCTGTGTATTTCCTTCTGCTATTTTTTTCTGTAATTGTCATTGACATTAAAATGTAACCATGAGGAAAACGAGATAACACTAACAAAAACTGGCTATTAGGACATCAGGTTGGTTCAGCATATCACTGACAGTATTTATGAAGAATCATAAATGTGGTTACAAAATACATAAGAGAACAAAAGGAAAAGAATCCTAAAATTAGTATACAAAATATCAAGCATTAAGTGCCTTACCTTCTTCACGCCTTAAATTCCTTTCAATGTTTGCTACACAAGAAGCACAAGTCATGCCGGTAACCTGTATGTAACACTTAGATGAAGTCTTCGCCTCCTCCTTATTATGAACTGGTGTCATTGTCTTATTTAATTCAATAGTTGATGACAAAGGTGGAATTTCTGATGAGGGCTGAGCTATCACTACTAATGGTTCATTTGTATCTAGAAGAAAAGGAAAGATTCTTTTAATTTGTGATATTGATTATTCTCTAATTGCCACCTTGTCACATATTACAATCCACATCCCCAAACACTGCCAACCCATTTATTTAAAACCAAAAAGTCCTACAATCCTCAGCAAATATGTAGTCTTTACACTTTCCCAGCATTAACTTCCAGTTTCAACAGTGCCCAATATACTGTACTGAAAGCTATACAAATACAGTCTGTCTTTCAGCCAGGTATGGTGGCACATTCCTGTAATTCCAGCAATTTGAGAAACTGAGGCAGGAGATTGTAAATTTGAGGCAGGAATGGGCACCTTAGCAAAATCCTGTTTCAAAAAATATAAAGGGCTGGGAAATGTAACTCGGTGGTAGAGTACCCCTGGGTTTAATCCCTATCACAAAACGACAACAACAAAACAGTATTTTCAGACTGTGACTGAATCCAGGTAAATAAAAAGTGAAACCCTGGACAAGGGAGGAATATTAAGTGAAACAAAAGCAGTTTATAAAACAGCATTGCAATATGATTTCATCTAAAATGTTGCAGGCATATGCATAAGAAAGGATGGAAAGCTATATAACAAATTTAACAGTGACTACTTCTGGAGTGGGGTTAAGGCAGGGATAGAATGAGAGAAGAACAAATTCCCTCTACTGATGCTCCTTATAGTTTGAATTTTTAGCACACATTTAAAATGTCTTTGTGGACAGTATAAGAGGCAAGGAATAAGAAGTAGTCTTCATTTTGCATAAAGGAGTATTCAGAGAATCTCTATATAGAATATTTATAAACCATGGAACAATTGTCATCCCAGAAGCTCCCCTATAGTCTCAGAAAATATGTCCTAGTTTAGCCATTGAAGTATTAATCGCTTCCCCAAAAGGGAAAGATCATTTTAATACATTTCTGCACCTATAAAAATGCCGAAATTTTTCCTCTCCTGTTCATGAAGAAGTGATATAGAAATTTCTACTGACCTATCTAAGTTGTTCTTTCTCCCACTTGGACCCAAAAAAAAAATGCAATTCTATTCGGGCTAGTGCACAAAAGAACCCTTGCATGCACAGTTTCCAGGATGTTGAAGAAGAGCATCTTTGGAAGAAGCTTTAACAAAAGCCTGATCATTTCCCCAGATTTCTCATATAAGGGGCTGGGGTTGTAGCCAGCAGTAGAGCACTCGCCCAGCATGTGCAAGGCCATGGGTTCAATACTCAGCACCACATAAAAATAAATAAATAAATAAAGTTACGGGGTATAATCCATGTATGTATAATATGTCAAAATACACTATATTGTCACAAATATCTAAAAACATCAAATAAAAAATGCAGATTCTGGTTTTGTACACTGTAGTTGGGACCTGGGATTCTGCACTTCCACCAATCTCCCAGCTGATGGCCATGCGGCCCAATATGGGTACAGCAAAAGACAGTTTCAATAGTAAAGGACCATATTCTCCCCATTCCTAAATTTGTCAATATATGATCTTTTTACACACACACACACACACACACACACACACACACATTTTACTTATAGTTGGATACAATACCTTTTATTTTTTTAATATGGTGCTGAGGATCGAACCTAGTGCCTCCAACATGCTAGACGAGTGCTCTACCACTGAGCCAGGACCCCAGCCCCAATATCTAATCTTAAGTGAATCACTTTGGAAAACTATTCATTCATATTATAATAATGTTATTTAGAATACTGAAGGAGAAAATTTACCAAATAGTACCACCCTTTTTGTTTTGTTTTATTTGTTTGTTTACACTACTCAGGATTGAAACCAGGGCCTTATCCATGCTAAGAAAGCACAACTGAGACAGATCCCCAGCCCTTTAAAAATATTGAAACAGGCTGGCCTCCAACTTGCAATCTTTCTGTGTCAGCCTCCAGTGTAGCTAGAACTACAGACATTAGCAACTTCACCCAGCTTCACTGTTATCTTAAAGGACTCAAAAAGTAGGCTCCTTCAGCAAAAGGTAATAACTTGGGCTTTGAATAAATCCATTATTCTAATATAGCCAGAAACTTCATTCATTCTCTCATAATTACTACTGAATCTTAATCATGAACTTAGACAATGAGAAAAAATGGTTTGTAGTGCCCATCTCTGTAAGTCTTGTTTCAGAGCCATTTAGTTATTTTAGGTACCAGAGGTAACCTTGAATACCATCTGCAATTTTCACACTCTGGAAGTACAGTATTAAAGTCACAGGGGTGCACCCTTCAGTTACTGAGACATGACTTCTAAATAAAGAGTCATAAAACTGTGACCTTTAGTCCTGTGAGTGTGGCAATCAAATAACAAAAGCTTCTACCTTTCACAAAGACAGTGAAGTACTAAAAGGTCACAATGAACAAATGGTTGATGTATGTCTGTCTTTTTTGGGTGGTGGTGGAGATTGAACCCAGGGCCTCTGTGCATACTCTATGCATACTTTGTGCATACTCCCAACTGAGCTATATCCCCAGCCCCTGGCTGGCTTGTAATTAGCTTTTCTACAACACTTCTTATGCTTAAATAAATTAAAAGGAAAGTTGTTTTCCTATACTTGAGACAATAATTAGAAATTATTAAAAAATCTGAAGGATTTACAATCCAATACTCAAAAGTGGAAGGGGCTCAGTATAATGTAACAAATACATAATCTAAAAATGGCTGAAAAACAATGATAAACATCATGTTTGCAATTTACTCTCAAATAGTTCACACACAAAATAATATTCACATATGTATGTATGTATATACATAAATGTATATCAGAGAATGAGAAAACAAAGGTAATGAAATATGAACAACTGGGGATATAAATGAAATTGATAAACAGGATTTCTTTGTACTGTTCTTACAATTTTCTTGTAAGTTTGAAATTATTCAAAAAAAATTACAGCCTGGTGCAGTGGCACATGACTGCAATCCCAGTGATTCAAGAGGCTGACATGGGAGGATCACAAATTCAAGGCCAGCTTCAGCAACACAGCAAGAACCTGTTTCCAAATAAAAAGGGGCTAAGGATGTAGCTTAGTGGTAAAGCACCCCTGAGTTCAATCCTCAGTACTGAAAACATAAAAGTTATAAAAGAAAGAAACTTAAGAGTATTTTGTGTGCTTTAATTGGTTAATGAAAACTTCACATATTGCATGTCTTTTTACTTTACTAGAATGACAATATTGATGGTTGTGATAAAAGGCTTCTCCCATTTTTCTCACAACCTCCTTTAACATTTATGACCCATGCAGGACACAGAAGCAAAAGGCATTGATCCCTTCATCAGAGAACAAGTCACAGGGGCAGACTCTGAGTAGAGGATTAGCTCTGACACTGATACTCAGAAAATTAAAATGGTTAGCCACAATTCTGGTAGAATCTTGAACTCTGATCTCTAGCAGAACCACAGGTTGAAGTCATTTGATATCAATCTTTAATCCCAATAACATGGGTCACTGTTGTCGAAGCTCTAATTGTTTTAGAGTAACATTCATTGTGCCAGGGTTTTGTTTCATTTTAACCTATCATATCCATTAACATATTTTTATGAGCCCTAACAGATGCAGGCCATATAACCAGTTTCTGATAATTATTTTTGAATAATTAATTCATAGGGCCCTTGACAGTAATAGGTTGAAAGTTTAAAAAATGTTAAAAGTTACTGAGCATGTTGTATTGATGGTTCCCGAGGACTAGCTGGATCTCTATATGGTGTCAGGGACTGAACAAGTACTCTTGAATTCCAATTACTAGTCTGATCAAAATTTCTCCTATTGGGCTAGGGGTCTAGCTCAGTAATAGAGCACTTGCTTAGCATGTGTCAGACCCCAGGTTTGAGGAAAAGCATCACCAAAAAAATAAAGAAAAAAAGAAATTCTGTTGCTCAAGTCCATCTTCGAAAACACCTAAGGAAATTGGGAAGTTGCAGCTCTGCTTTCATTTGTTATACAAGATATCATAAAATGGTGGCTATTTAAATTATATTATTTAATATTATTATTTTGGGTACCAGGGGTTGAACTCAGGGACATTAGACCACTGAGCCACATCCCCAGCCCTTTTTTGTATTTTATTCAAAGACAGGGTCTCACTGAGTTGCTTATCACCTTGCTTTTGGCTGAGGCTGGCTTTGAACTCATGATCCTCCTGCCTTAGCCACCCGAGCTGCTAGATTATAGGTGCCTGGCTAATATATTTTTATTGGATTAAATGAAGATTCTGGACTTTGTGTAAATAAGGCTAATATAAATTCAATTCATTTTATTCATAGAGGTCAACAGAGCACATTTTTTAGACCAGTGTTCTCAAACATTAATGTACATAAGAATTACCTGGAGAGCTCATTAAAATGTAGATTTGGGTTCAATAAGTCAGCAGTGGACTAGAGAGTCTGTATTTCTAACACGCTGCCAAGTGATGCTGATGTTGCTAATCTGTGAACCACACTTCAAGTTGCCAAAATTTAGACTCAAGTAAATAGGAAAAACTTCCTTTCTGAGTCTAGTCTGAAAGTTTATGGGGCCCTTGCTTAATGTAATGACAAATACCAGATCTGAATGTGAAAAATACTTCAGTTTTATATCATATGTGATATAAATTAATTATATTTGGGTTCCTATGTGTAAGATGCAAATGAATTTTATAATATTTAAAATATTTTTATTTTTTTATAATATAAGCAACTTGTTTTAATGATACTGATATAAATGAAACTTATTTAGGTGGTATTCATCATCAACAAAATAATACGAAATATATGCCAAAGTATTTTGATTTTATAGAAACTCTGAAAAAAAAATCAACATTATGAATTATTGAAATGCAAATCAACATAATTTCAAATTCTGTCATTTTGAAAGTTTTTCAAAACTGTAAGTAGTAAAAATAAAAACACTGTAAATGGTAACAGATAAAATTAAATTTTGCTAAAACTAATTTTAGTAATTTTTATGACTACCTGATATAGTCTCACTTCTAATATATCTATCCAATTTAAATTTTCTTTCTAGTTTCATAATTATTCCCTTTTGCAATTATAGATTCCCTAAATGTTTTTCAGTCTTTTGGTAATGGAGACTCTTTAACTTTAATATTTTGTATAATTTTCTAATAAGGAATTATGTGTCACATTTTTAGAGCACAGTTACATTATTCATAATAGCTAACAGTAGAAACTCAAATTTCTATTAACTGATGAATGAAGAAATAAATGTGGTATATATCCAGACAGTGGAATATTATGAAGTTCTGATATATCCTACAATATAGATGTACCTTGAAAACATTATGCAAAGTAAAACATTCCAGACACACAAAAGGACAAATATTATATGATCCCATTTATATGAGATGGGGGAGGTGGGAGAGAGGGCAGAAGAAGGGTAGATGGATGTGATCAGTGTATGACATATGCATGTATAAAAACATCAGTGAATCTCACAAATCTGAATAATTAATATGTGTTATTAATATGTTAATATAATAGTGATCACAAAGAACAGTGGTCACTAAAGGCTGGGAGGAAGGAAAAATGGGGAGTGCTAATGGGTATAGGATTTCTTTGGGGGATGACAAAAATGTACTAAAATTATATAATGTTGATGCCTGCAAAACTGTGCATATACTAACAGCAAATTAAGTTTGTACTTCCAAAGGGTGAATTTTATGGTATTATGTGAACTACAGGTTGAGTAGCCCTTGTCAGAAATGCTTAGGGTCATTCAACAGATGAATGGATAAAGAAAATGTGGTATATATACACAATGGAATATTACTCAGCCATAAAGAAGAATGAAATTATGGCATTTGCTGGTAAATGAACAGAATTGGAGGATATCATACTAATTGAAATAAGCCAATCTCCAAAAACCAAAAGCCAATGTTCTCTCTGATATGTAGATGCTAACACACAATAAGGGGAGAGGGAAGAACAGAGGTTCATTGGATTAGACAAAGGGGAATGAATGGAAGGGAGGATGGGAATAAGAAAGACAGTAGAATAAATCAGACATAACTTTCCTATGTTCAATATATGGACACATGACGAGCATAACTGCATATCATGTTTAACCACAAGAATGAGATCTTAATTAGAATACATTATACTCCATATATGTACATTATATCAAATACATTCTACTGTCAAGTACAACTAAAAAATAAATAAATAAATAAATGCTTGAGGTCAGGAGTGTTTTGGATTTTTGAATATTTGCCTAAATGCAATGAAATATATAGGGGATGGGACCCAAATCAAAACATGAAATTCATTTGTGTTTTGTATACATCTTATCTGAAAATCTTGAAAATAATTTTTAAAAATATTTTTGGTCTGCCTATGTTTTGACAGCAACCCATCACATGTGGTGAAGTGTGGAATTTTCCACTTAATGGCATCATGTTGGCACTCAAAAAGTTTTGAACTTTGGGGCTGGGGCTATAGCTCAGTGGCAAAGCACTTGCCTAGCATTTGTGAGGCATGGGGTTTGATCCTTAGCACTACATAAAAAAAAACTAAACAAATAAAGGCGTGCTGTCCATTTACAACTATTAATTGTTTTAAAAGTTATGAATTTTGCAGTATTTTGTTTTTCTGGAGCATTTTGCATTCTGGATTTTCAGATTAGGGATATTCACTATGTACATGTCAACTTCTAAATGTGAGAATTATATAATTTCTACCATTTGTCATCAATATGAAAATTAAGAATGCTTTTTATTCCTCAGGGTCCTCTCCCACTGACACTTATGTACTATAATAATCTAGGCATGTGTTTACTAAAAGCTTTGATTCAGTCTGAGTGAGCATAAAAAAGGACTATTACTATTTGATATCTTTCATTCTAATCAGAATAGCCAAGGTTAATGACATTGTCTGGAAAACATTTGTATTTGTTTTAGTCATTAAGGCAAGAAATTTCATTAAGTCAATTCTTTAGTTTAATTCAAGGCCAGGTTCAATTCTGGTTCAAAACAACAAGTTCACATAGGCAAATTCCACTGGATATACATTTTTGTTTCCAGTTAAAAAGTAAGAGCTATCAGGAAATATGAAAAATTTGAAACAGGTCTGGAATGAGTTTAATTTGGATGTCTAAATTTAAAGTCACAGTTTAAATCTTATTATTTATTTATACCATTTCTTTTTAAAATAACATTTGGCTCCCCCATTATATAAATACATACATACATCATTGATGTAAAAAATGTATAATACACTGGACAGCACAATGAAAACAAAAAAAAAATCACTCTTATCCTACCAATCAAAGAAAACCACAATTTGGGGGGAACAGGGACTGAAATATAGCAGGTCAGATTCCATGCATGTATGATTTTATTGAGATGAACCCAGCTACTATGTATGATGCTCGTTAAATAAATAAATAAAAGATAACCACTATTAAAATTTTGGTTCATGTCCTGCAGAATTTTATTCATTTTTATTCAATTCAGAAATGAATTCATATATATTTATTTATAATTTTGATTGCAGTACATATGTGGAATTTTAGCTTTTTTTTTCATTTAGCAAAATAGCTCAGACATTTTCCTATAGTATTACTTATCTGTAATACCATCATTTTTTATGGCTTCACAGCATTTCATCACATGGTTATACCATGATTTACTTATTGTTTATAGTTTTTCAAATACTATAAATAATTATCCAAACATCCTTAGGCATCTTTGTATGTGCTGCTGGCTACCTCCCTAGGACTTGTTAGTAAAAAGTGGAATTTCAGTGCCTATAAATCATTTCTCATTGCTGAAAGCCAAATGAAGTGGCAAAATAAAAATAAAAGAACATTAGGGAAGTCAAAGAAAAAGTGATAGTTACCTGATAGGGTGGCATTGAATCCCATGTCTTCTATTGCTTCTCTCAAGGTTTCTGGAGAGGTTAGTAGAGGGTCATACTCAACAGTTCCATTGCTATTTGCAAGGGAGACTCGTATGGATTTTACACCTGCCTTTTTTGATATTACACCTTCAATAGACTGTACACAAGAATTACAAGTCATACCATCAATGTGTATCACAGTTTCTTGAGTCAGAGGCTGGCTAACTATGTTCAAAGGCATCTTTTGAAGAGATGAGCTGGAGGGAGAGGTGGAGGTACTCTCAACTTCACTTGCAATCCTAACTCTATATTGCCCTGGTGAAACAGCTTCTATTGCTTTTCTCAGCATTTCTGGAGTGACTGAGCTTGCATTGTACTTTACAACGGCAGACCTATTCTCTAAAGAAACTACTATGCTGCTTACATATTGGAGTGTAGATAAAGCGCTTTCAATATTTGACACGCACGATTTACAATGCATGCCATCTATGATGAAAGTAGCTGTTGTATCATTGGTATATGATGATGATGGACTTCTTTGCTGTGATCCTTCTGGAGATTTCACTGGTGTGTTCTTTAGACGTTCTACATCAATAGCTCCCAATTTAAGGTACTTGGGCTGCTTTTTGATGTATGCTGGAAAGCCTGCAGCTTCAATCTGCTTCTTTATTTCCTCTACTGTGATAAGATGAGGTTGGTAAACAACAGTGGCTTCTTGGTTGTCTAGGGAAACTAGTTAATAAAAAGAAACATGAATATTATTTAAGTCAGTTATTCCTGCACCCCTTCAGAATCAATAATTATTTCTCACTCATTCTTCTCAACATCTGTTCTTAAAATAATTTTGTTCTTTTCATAAAATGTGATTGACATGAGTGGAAAGAAATAAAAGATATCATCACTGTTGCTATGGTCTCTAAGTTTCTATAAACCTGCATAGAAATATATTAAAGAGTCCCCCAGGCATGTTGTGGTAAGAACCCTGAACTCCAGGAATCGCTACCCCAGCTGCCCTTTCTGCCAAACTAAAGTTCAAGACTCTCATAACCTTTCATTATAATCATTAACTTTACTGACATTAATGCTGGGAATATGCTATGCCTCAAACTTCAACGAAGTGGTAAGCATTCTAGTCCCATGGATTCAAAACCCATGCTTGGGAAGAAAGCAAAAAGTTAAAAGATCAAACCCGAAAACTAAGCTTTATAAAACAAGCAAAATCATATTGGAACTATTACCTTTAATTCGCTGAATACCTTGCAGTTTCCCAATTTTTCCTTCAATAGTGCTAGTGCATGAATGGCAGGTCATTCCTTCCACTTTCATCTTCAACATGACTTCCCCTGCTGGAGCCATACTGTGGTCTTCATAAGGTCCTGTTTTTTTCTCTACAGTTCCAATATCTAAACTGAGGTCTGGAACCAGCTCTATTATCTGATTGGCATTCACTATAGAAGGAATGATTGTCACTACTGCAGCTCTTTGCTGAGGGGAAATTTTAATGTCTGTCACACCCTTGGTCTTGAGCAATGTGCTTTGGATATGGTCCCATGGTGGAGCCAGTGAAGCAGTAACAGTCAAAAACACAGTATCGGTTAAAACTGGAAGAGGGTTAGAATTATGAAGAATAGCATCAAAGCCCATGTCATCGATGGCTTCCTGTAGGGTCTTTGGAGTCTGCAGTTTAGGGTCATAAATAATCGTTGCATTTTTCTCTTCCAGTGAAACCTTTTGGAAGGAAATTTCAGAAGTTAGTTTAATTAAGTGATATGACATTGGGTTTTATTTATTTATTTGGTTCTAGAGATTGAACCCAGGGGCATTCAACCATGGATTCACATCCCTAGCCCTTTTTACTTATTTATTTTTTTGTTTTGAGACAGGGGTTTGCTAAGTTGCTGAGGCTAACCTTGAACTTGTGATCCTTCTGCCTTAGCTTCCCAAGTTGCTGGGACTATAGGCATGTGCCACAGTGTCTGGCTCACATGACAGAGGATCTTAAAAATGTCAATAATTATTATCACATTCAAGAAGAATAAAATAACTCAATCTAATTGGAGTAAATAATAATAAATAATTTATTATTTTTCATTATACTATTCTCATTGGAAAGGAACATAAAATGTCTTGTCTATTTAAAAGAAAGGTAAAGCCTACGTGACTATGGTACCAGACAACTATCTGAAATATGTACATGGACAAATACACCCTAGAATTTCATAACACAGCACAAACTACTCTTTCCTACCATCTCCTTTCATGACTATTCCAATACTTCACAGTCTACTAATTCAAAAGGTTATATGGGAAGCAGGATTAGCTATAGAAAACAAAAAGGTAACATGAATTTTGCTCATATAATATGTTCAATTAAGATAACTGTTGGCAAGAAAAGACACTAACCAGCCAGTTTATGAGTGAAGGTAATATTTATAGGTTTTTGTAGCATATACTCCTATTACTCTTAAGTCACTACAGCATAGTATTAATTTTGTTCAAAACCAGAACACTTTTATTGATTCTTTTATGGTTCATAAACATGATGATTGGGTTTTCACATTTAAGTGTAAGATATGCCTCACTCAATCCTTGTTATGACACTAGCACACTTTCTGACAGAAAAAAAGGAACTTTTGGTGTTTTGCCTGATTATAAAACAATGGTTGTATTAGTTAAAATATTTTTAGTTGTAGATGGACATAATTCCTTTATTTGTTTTTTATGTGGTGCTGAGGATCAAATCCAGTGCCTCACACATGCTAGGCAAGCGCTCTACCACTGAGCTACAACCCCAGCCCCCAATGGTTATATTCTTTTTTTTAATTTTTAATGTTTATTTTTTAGTTTTGGCAGACATGATATCTTTGTTTTGTATGTGGTGCTGAGGATCGAACCTGGGCTGCACGCATGCCAGGCGAGCATGCTACCACTTGAGCCACATCCCCAGCCCCACAATGGTTGTATTCTTAAAGCTCAGTTACAGCATATAATTTAACTACTGTCATGACTGCATCTCTTTGGCTAACATATTACAAAGATTTATGATGAACACACACATTCACAAATACTGGGTTAAGAGAATATTTTAATTCCAACTACAATTCTCTACTACTTATTAGCCAACCACCCTCTATTAGTTCCACCATCTAAAAATTGAGAAAATGGGCCTGTGTTCTTAAAGGGGTTTTTTTTACAGTGATCATATAAGTAAATAGATAGGAAAATTCTTTGTAGCAGCAACAAGTTATATAAAAGTAAGCCACTAATTATTATCAAGAACTTATTGTATGTGCCTGGAAATGGGATTCTCAGGATACAAAGTGAACATGGCATAATCATAAGGAGCAATACTGGCACAGAGACTAGAAAAAATGGACACTCATTCATCCCTAGGAACAGAGGTGAGGGAAGATAATATCTGAGCATTAAAAGACAAACAGGAATCAGCAAGGATGTATGAGGCAGGGAAATGTAGACAACTGGAAGCACAAGAGTAGTGAGAGATGAGAAGCTGGGGAAATAGACAACTGCTCCATTATGGGGTCTCACATAACAATATTGTTTTGTAATTTATCTTTTAGTAAGTGGGGAGGCATGGATAAGTTAAGCAGGGAAATGACATGATTAGATTTGCATTACAGAGAAGAGTCATTTCAGAGGCTGTGTGGAATATGATAAGGTGGGGTGGAGTAATAAAGGAGGAAGGAAGATCAAAGAGGAGGCTACCACAATTACAACAGTGGTGCAATAGATTCTGAATTACAACATGCACACTGGAGTAAAGAGAACAGAGGCAGTTCCAAGATACATTTAGTACAGCAGGGCCTAACTAATCAGATGTAGAGGGTAAGGAATGACTAGGATGATTCATAAATTCCTGGCTTGGGCCAGTAGATAGATGGTAATGCCATTAAATGATATTAGAAAGAGGGGAAGAAAAAAAGAAGTCAAGAGGTAAAAGTAGAGAAAAAGGAGAGGTAATGAATATAGTTCTAGACCTATCAATTTTGAGACAGCAGTAGAATATTAATGTTCAAAAGGTATCTAAAATATAGGTATTACTATTTTTATTAATTTAGAGTGAAAGCTTTGTTTCACACAACAAAAACAACTCTAAATAAAGCTAAATATAATTCAGAGTGGGAAATACCATTTTAAACTCTCTACAATGATTATATAATTAAAATTTTCACTTATTTTCATGGACTTCACTCTTTATTTCTTCCTTTAGCTTGATAACCAATGACTATGTATTTGATGAAAATTGAAATTGCTTATGGCATGGAAAGTTTTTATCACTCAGATAATTCTAGTTGGTTAGTTTGTTCTTGTTATAGAAGAGATCACTATCACAAATGATCCAAAACAGAACTGGGAAAATAATTTATATTGGATTTGGATTACATTATGTAATTTTCCATGGGAAAATTCAGAACAGTAAACCACATATAGTTGAGACACAGATTTGAAAAAGATACAATATTATGTGCAATATTATGACAATCACTATCACATGGAAACCTTTGTGTCTCTGTGTTTTCAAAGAGATCCTCTTTTAAACTTTAATCTCACTCCTCTGAGATCAATGATTTTCTTATTAAAAAAAATGACTAGGTGGGCTGGGGATGTGCTCAAGCGGTAGCGCGCTCGCCTGGCATGCGTGCGGCCCGGGTTTGATCCTCAGCACCACATACAAAGATGTTGTGCCCGCCGAAAACTAAAAAATAAAGATTAAAATTTTTAAAAAATGACTAGGGGTGCTGGGGATGTGGCATGTGAAACCCTTGGTTCCATCTCATCCATGCAAAAGGAAAAAAAAAGACTTTATGACTGGGAGTATAGCTCAGTGGTAGAATGTTTACCTAGCAAATGCAAGGCCCTGGGTTCCATCCCTGCAACTTGGAAAAAAAAAAAAAAGAAGAAAGTGACATTCAATAATGTAGACATGATAACTAAAGGAGAAGTTGGATCAGTGGTTTTCAGGGGCTAAGGGTGGGGGCCAATATCACAACAGAGTTTTTAGGGGTGATGAGACTGTGCTATCCTGGTGGTATGAATCATGTATTAACATTCACAAAACTAAAAAATTCAAAGAACTCTATACCAAAAAAGTCAATACTACTGGATGATGATTTTTGAAAACAAAACAAAAAAATGAAAAATTCAGTTCCTCAGCTGCACCAGCCACATCCTAAGTGTTCAATGGTCAACATGACTCAATGTAGCTAGTGGCTGCCATATTTGATAGAGCATATGCAGAACATTACCATCAGTGTGGAACATTCTTGGACAGTACTATTTTAGGTACTACTACATTTTTTCTGATAAAGTGACAATGTAAAGAATTATTTTCCCTTTAGGTTTGAATATATTATGTCTGGTATCAAGATTGGTTTTGAGCTAAATTCTCCCCTTAACAATGTCATTTTACTAACATACACAATGAAAAATTTGTCTGATTTTAAGAGCAAAAATAATTTCATCACTGGATGATTTGCTATACTTTGTATTGCCTTAGCCCATATTTTATTCATAAAAGATATAATGAGACTATGTATAATATACTATCCAAAAGGTTATATTACCCTGTGCTATTTATGCTGCAGAAGGTGAACACACTTCCTTACTTATTAACTTCCTACTTCTTTCAGCTGGCCATCTATACTCAATGTTCCCCTTTAGGGTAATAGCACTTAACTTTCCCTCTAATTATTAATATCAAAAAAACTTTTCAAACCTAAGTTTTCAAAGTAAAGTGAATCATTTCGTTTTAAGAAGAAATTTTCATAGTAGCTGATAATTTTACAATACAGTTGGGGTACCAAATCCTTGGGCAGGAAGCTAAATGGCATTTATCTTGTCAACAAATATTTGAATGCCTATATAGTGCCTGGCCCTGTGCTAGCCTCCTCGAAGTCCTCACACTGTTTCAGAGTTTCAAAGGTTTCTTTTTTCTCAGAATCTTTCATTAGAAACCAATACTATTATTTTTATTTTCAAAGAAACTATTTCCCATTAGTTCCTTATTAGTTCCTCTGGAAAAGAAACAACAGCATACAACTATGAACATAGGAGGTACTTAAGATGAAGGACTTTTCAGTATTTGGGTAAAGGCAGTAGTGGGAGAGGGAAAAAAGAAAATAAACCAAATTTTGTATAATCTGTAGCCTTTATAGCTTTATAACAGTAGAGAGGGTGCTGACAGAAGTTGTAAAGGATCCATTATTTTAATGTTTGTGGTGTTCTGTGTCTCCTGAAATGTCAAAGGTGAAATTCAGGCACAGTATACTTTTTGAAAACAATTTCTGCATAATTTGCATAATACATAAAGGCTGCATCTTATATTCTTAGGCAATATGAAAGCTAAAGGCTTGGACAAATCAACTCTACCTCTGAGGGCTTCTACTTCCTGACAGACTGGACAATATTCCTTGTAAGCTCTAACATTCTATAAAAGCTAAAAAAAAATGTTGTTAATATCTCTTCTTGGGTTTTGTCATTAGTACATTTTACTCTTTTGCATTCTTCCTCATTTGATAATGAAAGGTGCCAGTCTGAATGTGTCCCCACAAAATTCATGTTGAAACCCTAACCCCCCAGGAGGGGTTTTGGGAGGTGAGGAGGTCATGAAGCAGAGCCCTCATAATTAGGATGAATTATCAAAGAGGCACCAGAGAGCTCACATAGATGGTTCTACCATATGAAGATACAGGAAGAAGACACCTTTA